AAACTGGTAGTCTCTCTGCTGTCCCTCCTTATTTGTAAAGGAGGGTCACTACTTTATCCATTTTCTACCCTCCAAACTAGAACAGAGAATTTTTACAGGCCTGTATTAAAACCATAACAAGATCTACATCTAAAGAAAATAAAAACCCATCAATAATGGGTTGCAGCAGCCAGCGAGGGGTTAGACCAGCTTTCATTATCCTGTGTGAAGGCAGCTGAATGCTGATTGTAAGCGGATGGAGCCATATTTGAAACACACGAGTTAACCTGCTACTTTCAGTGGGAAAGAGGCTGTAGGTCGGTTCATTGATCTGTTCATTGATAATGGGACGGTTTCCATGGTGACAGAGGCAGAGGGGTCATTCTCAGAGATCTGGGAAGTTTATCTGAGGATTTTGTTTTTTATTTCATTAGGAGGTGAGAGAGATGAGCTGCTTTGCTGCTCCATCCGCCTCTCATTGGTTGGTTTCTGTGAGGCTCAAAGAGGATCACTACTGCATCCATTTCCTGTCCTCCTGAGCTCCTATTATAGGTCCACTATTCTGCTTTTTAAAATCTTTCATTGATTGTTTCTGTCCAGTCTGTCCTTCCTGCTATATTCGCTTAACCTGACAACAGCCAGATGCATGTCTCGCTCCGCCCAGCTCCACTCACATACGTATGTGAGCGGAGCTAGGCGGAGTAAGACATGCATCTGGCTGTTGTCAGGTTAATATTCGCTCTGTGTGACTCCAAACTGATTAACAGATTTTATTTAGTATTTTCCCCAAAGTACTACCTCACCAGGCGTTATGGACAAAAGAAAAACTATCTAATTACTTATTTTTTGGTGTTTTTTGAAGTGTATGGATGTCTGACCTTAAATTGTTTTTTTTGTACATGACTGAAGGGAAACACGCCCGGTGAGGTAGTTTAAGTTGTATTTTTCCTACAGAACTAAAGGGATAAAGGCAAATCTGTCGTGTTGCGTATTGACTACAGGTATGCTGGTCTGACAGAACACTGGTGTTCTCCAACCATTTCCTGAGCTCAGAACAAAGTCTGACCTTCTGCTGTCTGAGGGAGTCATCTCCATCTTTTGGGAACCGTCACATAAAAAATAAAAAAAAAATGAAAAAGATTGCATGTCCGCTGAGAGAAAAACTCATTGAAAACGCTGCAGGTCTAGTTTACATGCATCACTTTATAGATAGTGGTTTATTAGTCAGTGTAGGACACAGATGTTAAATAGGCCTAACGTGCCTCAGTCCCATTCGAACGTAATGCAGATCTCTACAGTCACTAGTTTGTCAGCTCTGAGCTGCCGTAGCACAAAGATGTCTGCCTCCATAAATACATAACCTGCTCCTATGTTAGAATAAATAGCAATTCCTAAGGAAAACATTCCTAAGGAAACATAAAGACTTACTGTAATAATAACAAGTAATTACTGTAAACCTGTAATTATTACACACTGCAGCTTTAATGCAGGTAATGAATGATTGGAATATAAAGTCTAGAAACAGCACAGCATTTAAACCTTATAGTGATTATTTAAAGAGCAGAAGCTCACCTGACTGTTGACTCTTCTGCTTCCTATTAGCATCTTTTTTTCTCTTTTTTCCAACAGAATCACACAAAGCTGCATCTTGTGTTTTCCTCTTGTCGCGTTGATGCTTTGCCTCCTTTGGTCTCTCATCTTTGCTGGTTTCTTCCTGATGCTCCTTGGTTTCTTCAATAATCCCATGTCTTTGTTCTGTTAAACTCTGTCTCTGCTTCTGCTTCACCTTCTGCTGCAGTTTGTTTAACAACTGCTGTGAATGGGACTCCTTGGATGTGACATCATCCTCCTCGTCTCCAAGATACCTGCGATAATAAACACAGTGACGTCACAAGCACAGAAAAGCACAATCAGTTTTCTCATGAAGGGTTTATGAAGTTAAGAATTCTAGATCCATGACTTTCCCATTGCTGACCAGCAGTGATGGGTCCATTAACCCTGATGCATTGCTGCATGCATGAAGCCCACAGAGCTAAACACCGTGTTTAAAAAGGGATCTGTCACCATGATGCATCTGCTAAAAAAAATGATAATTGAAAAAATCCAGAATTTTGGAGCCTAAAAGGCATAGAAACCTTTTAGCCACTGTATTTTTATTTCCTCGTTGTGTCATCCTTTTCCTCTGAGGTATCACTCAACTATCTGAATTTAAGTTCATTTCAAACTGACTCTTAGTTTATTTACTATTTTCACTGTAGTTATTGTTTTAAAATTATGATTTAAAATCTTAGTCCACAATCATCCTCATTCACATTTCCCCCTAAATGTTCACCTTATGATTACTGTTTACATTATTTTTTGGCTGCATCTATAAATATCAAAGATATATTTTAAATTTTAACATATATATGAAATAATACAATATAACATCCAATAACTGCAACGATATAATTGTTCTAGGTCATCAGGTCCATTCAGTTTATTCCAATCAGCTGCCTGTAGTGCCTTTAAATGTCCAGCAGGTGTCAGTATTCTGTTAGACAGGATCAGCGCAGCATCAATAGTTTGGCTTCCAGCCTCATTAACATCACTACTGACCACTTTTTACTATCTATTCAAAAGCAGACCAAAAAACGTATTTGTTGAATGACAAACGGCTGGAGGAGTCATTCACTATTTTAACGGTATTTAATAAAAGTCTGCGCATTTGGACACAAGATCCGATCAAACTGTGGTTCCTACCTGTTCACCAGAAACAGAGACATTTCTACTGGTTTCTATTAGAGCCTTTAAACAACAACCCGAACAGGTCTTCAAACAGCCCCTCTTCTATTTACTGACAAAACACTCCATTCTGTTACATGTGGATCAGTCGCTGGATTACTACGTCTCCAAGGCTACTTCTTCTTCTTCTGTTTTTTATTGGCGAATGGCACAAACTGAAGGTGCATTTACCGCCACCTACCGGACTGGAGTGAGGCCATCAATGATGTCAGAGTTAATCCGTCTATGGTATGCATGAATCTGCACACACACTCACATTAATGATTTTATCAATTAAATGTTTTTTAATAATCTAATTAATCCTGTTTTCTCTCTATTCAGTATTGACTTAGAGGGCTGACTTTCCTCTGAATATTTACTATATTGTAATAATACCTGTTCTAATGTTTCCATCTGATCAGAGTGATTATAAGTCCCTGTTTCATGTTTCCTTATGCTGAAAAGAGAACTAGAACTAGAGTCCATTATGACCAATTCTAAGAGATATGACTTCCTCTTAGTACTATTACCTCCCACAGTCTTTTGATTTTATATAGATCTCTACCAGAGGCCATGATTATCACATTTTTCCTGCCAAATCTTACAGATTTCATTCTGAATTATAGATTTACCCTCACTTTTACTTAAATTAATGCTAAAGTTCATATATTCCCTTTAACAATTTCTAATCTCTTCAAACTAAACATCTCATAATATTTAATATCTTTTTACATTTATCTCGTTTTTTCAATATGCACTTTCCATGTTAGTCCTTCATGGTTATGGGTTATTTACTTTGGCCTTTTTGGAAACACAGGAAGGAGCAATCAGCTAAGTGAGCTTAGTGCTTGGAAAAAATCTTTCATTCCTTTAGAGACAGCATGAAAAGTCAGCTGAGTACAAAACATAGAGAGGAAAACAAGAAGAAAAGGGACAAGAAGAGAGGGACACAACCTAGAACAGATAATGGATGTCTATTCTATTAACATTTCTCTATCTGTAGAATGGGTCTGTTTTATGTGTTGTCTTCTCCATTCAGAGGGCCCCCTGCCTTTCTTTGCCCAGGTGCCCACATTTCCTGATCCACCCCTGGATGCAATCAACCCAAAACATTTTGGAATTGCTCTGAAAGATGGATCAAATCCAACATTGCGCTTCCTAAATCTATCTCTAGAGATACAGTAACTTTTGGAATACCGTTGAAAAACAAAACAATAGAACTCTGCCGTAACATAATGTTGCGTTTAGAAAAATTCATTATTCGTGAACAGAGTGCTGAGATCATCCCCAGTCTTTAACATATTTTTAAAATCAAATTATATTTGAAATCTCTTAAATGCATCAAATCTGATGAATACTTGACTGAAATACTGATGGGTTTCCCCACCGATGTTCATAAATCCTAACATAAATCCCCTTGTTGCCATGTTAATTATTGTTTCATTGTTATCATTAATTTATTCTTTTTTTGTTCCTTATCAATGTTATATTTCCATTTTGAAATCTGCCTTCCACGGACTTGTACTGTTGTTTTTGCCTTACTTGTTTGTATTTATTTTGTTTAAATAAACTTCATTAAAACGGATCCCATAATCAATCTGTTCCCAACTTAAAATTCTGGACAAATTAATTCTGTAGATCTGTAATATAAGATCTGCAATAAATGCATGTGTATATATAGCTACCACTCCTAAACACCTTTGTTTATAAGTTTGTTTGTCTTTCCTCCTGACTGCAGGTGTTTATTGTGATTATATTATTAACCCCCCTGGCAGATTTGTTTGTTTATCTCTATATCTTATATGTTATTGTTGACATTAAGTGAAATAAAAACTTTCCTCGCTCAATAAAAAAAAAAAAAAAAAACGTCACGGAGTGAGTCGCACATGATTCGTCATATGACGCAGCCATGTAGTAGAATGAATGATATAACTGTTGGTTATTGTATAACTGTTAAATATAAGTTCATAGATTAAGATATGTATCATTAAAACAAAACTATTGATATAAAATAATAATCATAGCCAAATAGTAAATTCTCCATCATATCGGCCTCTCTATTGGTTCCCCATCGCCATGCGTGCGTCACTTTGCGTGATGACGTTGACCAATCAGATTTAAGCTTTATGATTCAAACAGTTTAGTTTTTCCCTGAAGGTGGAAGAATGTTGTAAAAGAAGACGCGGTTCTCTAGTTAGTCCAGTTTTCTCTTCAGGTCTCATTTTTTCCACAGCGGAAGACATGGCGGCGGAATCCGTTAAAGTGTGTGTCCGGGTCCGGCCTGTTGTTGAGAGGTTAGTTCTCCCGGACCAGCCGCCGCCCCGACGGTTAGCGGACGGTTCGGCTACTGCTTTCATCATCCAGCTTTAATATTCTACTGTAGCCGATTAATGCTAGCTGGCCATCTGGTCCTCCAAAAACACAGGTTTCAGGGAATGGCGGTGAACTCCTCCTGCTGTGTCTGGCTCTAAGCAGCCATGTTCTTAATGGACCGTGGATCCATTAAGAACATGGCTATAGAGATCTATAGGAGGTCAGGGATCTATAGGGGGACATTATGCAGCATTCAATCCTTACTGATGTGGACCTAAAAACCTGGTAGAACCTGCTATACTGTCAACAGGATGCTTGTGTGTGAGCTGAATAGGAAATATTGATGGAAAGTAAAAAGTGAACTAACTTAGTAATCAATTAATCCTTAGCTGGAGTGTAGAAACTCTAAAATGTGCCTTCAGCTGACAGAGCGACCCACTTAGAGCAACAATTATACCAAGATTGTAAAAAAAAAAAAAAAGCATAACGAGAGAAGAATGATGAAATAGGGGTCCCTATGTCCTCCAGCAGTCTAAGCCTATATTAGCAGAACTATAGAGATAGCTCAGGATAACCTGAGCCACTCTAACTAGAAGCTTTATCAAAAAGGAAAGTTTTAAGCCTAGCCTTAAAAGTAGACAGGGTGTCTGCCTCACGGACTAAAACTGGTAGTTGGTTCCACAGGAGAGGAGCCGGATAACTAAAAGATCTGCCTCCCATTCTACTTTTAGAAATTCTAGGAACCACTAGTAAACCTGCAGATTGAGAGCGAAGTGCTCTGTTAGGAACATAAGGAACAGGTTTGAAGGTCTAACTCTGCCCTCAGGCCTGTTGATGTTTGCTGTCTGACTCCTCTGCATCTCCTGGTGAGAGGAGATTTCTCATTTTTGCAAGATTCCTCAGATGAAATCAGTTTAATCCCATCCAAATGAAGTGACTGACTAATCAGCTTCTTTCATCAAAGACTCTGATCCAAAGACTATAATAATACAGCATTTAAGCATTTATAAACAGATGAATCAATTTACAAACTAATTGTTAGTTGTAGCCCTGCTTCAAAGTAGTCCGCCCAGCAGAGAAGGCAGAGTACTTCATAAAGATGATCCAAACACACTGAAATACCTAAAATAGCCAACATGTTCATCTATCTAATAGCATAGGCAGCTATGCCACAGAAGAATAGGGGAGCCAGACACTAAACCTGCAGGATATCATTTACTTCAAATGAACAAAGGAAGCTCTTGAGTGGCAGAAAACAGCTGTGGGGATGTTGCATCCCTCCTCTGTGGGGTTATTGCTTTATCTACCTAGACTATTGCAGGTGAAGATTCTCAGTCATCCAGGTCATAGTCATTCCACAAAAGTAAAAAAAAAAAAACAACCCATTGGACTTTGTTTCCAAGTTAGAAGACGTTTCTCTCCCCATCCAGGAAGCTTTTTCAATTCAAAATGTCAGAAATAGCGTTGAGTTTGAGGCTTTACAGAGTGGACCAAAAACAAAGCTTTGTTTTGCTTAGAAAACATGCAAATTGAAACTGAGGGAACGGGTCCATCCCTTTGTTGGGGTCGTTAGAGGGAATTGTTATTTAGCCAGGCCACCAATTCCCTCGAGCGACTCTTGTTACAGAGACATAGACAGGAATGGGGCATTACAAAGAAGCCAAACGACCCCCATTCCAAAGGGGTGGACCCGTTTGTCTGTTTCTATTTGCATGTTTTCTAAACATAAACCAGGCTTTGTTGGGCTGCTGGATAAAACCTGGAACTCAACACTATTCCTGACATTTTGAATTGAAAAAGCTTTCTGGATGGAAGAGAAACGTCTTCAAACTAGGAAACAAAGTCCAGTGGATTTGAACTTTTTTGGAATCATCTGGAGAAAGAACTTCTTTGGGAGAATAATTATACGTCCTTTCCACTGATCTAAATGTGAATATTTAGAGATTGTATGCATACCGAATGGATCAGCCGCAGTGCAGACTGTGGATGTCATTTGTGTGAGCAGTATTCCCTCTGGTCTCCTTGCATCTAGCAATGGCTGAACAGTTGAAGCGATCTGCAGGAATGCTGGAGCTACTGACTCAGTGTCACATCTTGCCAGTTGTGTTTCAGGTCCTGCTGGTCAGACCTTTTGAGCCCTAAAGGCTCCTAAGATTGAGCATTGATTGATTGAGCATCTCCTCCCTACTTAAAAGTTGCACAATAATATTCACAGCTGGGTTGAGTCAAAGTATGCTACCGTCTTCAAGAGTGAAATTCTACGTATGCAAACTCTTCAGGATGTTCCTGTATGTGCATGTTTACCTTCTTTGATCTTTCTTCTATATCACCACTCATTTCTCAGGGAAGAAACAGCTGCTTCAGAAAACGGACAGCCTGTCCAGCTGTTTTGGAAAACAGATAAGAAATCAGTTTGTCAGATTGATGATGGAAATTCCAGCAAGTGCTTCAGCTTTGGTAAGTTTTCCACTGGATGTTAATGGTGTGTGGAGCCAGTGAGATAACTTTATGGTCTAATTCTGTTATCTACAGACAGAGTGTTTACAGCTAAAGAATCCACCAGCCAGCTTTACCAGGAGATCGCAAAGCCCCTGGTTGTTTCCACTGTTCAAGGTTACAATGGTATGGAACGGGAAGCGACATGTTATGGTTGGATTAATGGTTTTGTGAATTTACTCAGACGTTTGGTTGATTTGTGGTCCTGCTGTAGAGTGATTGTTTTGTTTGTTTTCAGCCTGGCTGCAGGACCAATGTTTCTAAAGCTCCTGTCACACTGCGACGATTTAGACCACCGTCTGCCTGACATATGAAAAATCTGGCAAAAACTCTGGCATACGTTGGATAAGTTATGGCTACGTTTATAAGTTATGAACATGCTGAAGTACGTTGAAACACATCAATATAGAGAATGAGAAATTTTTAACGAGGTATTCTGTCGTCTG